CTGCCCACATCCAACTACTAATTTACAGGTAATATAGAAGATAGAGGAACTTGTTAAACTGCATCAAGGGAATACAGTCAACAAAACCCAGTCTGTGGGAAACTTTAGGATAGGTGATCCAATATATTCAACAAATTGCAATGGAAAAAAGAGATGGTGAGAGAACCAACAGATTAAAAACAGGAAAAGTTAAACCATAGCACTTAGGTATTTATACTTCAGTAATAATAAAAAAATAAAGTAAGGAAGTGATTAATGTAAAAGAGTAGTGGTTTCTGTTGGTTGGCATGAGGGTAATGGCATTGGGAGGGAGTACATGAAGGCTTCTGTGGTGACTCACATGGTCCTGTCTCCTGATCTATGTGTTGCTTCTAAGTTCATTTAGCTGTGTATCTCTGAGTTTGGTTTTCCATGTTTGTGTTATATTTAATAGTAAAAGTCAAATAAAAAAACGAGGGAAAGGAAATTGATTGGAGGGGAGGCAGCTATATTGGGAAATTGGTGAGAATTGATGCCTTATAGATTAATTTATAATAGCTTAGACTTATTAACTAAGAATTTTATTAAATGCTATTCTCAGAAGATTCAACATAATCTGTAAGTGGAGAGCCATTAAAGTTTACTAAAAAGGGGGTTGGAGTGCTGAAAACTGTGGTTTTTTTTTTTTTTTTTTTTGAGACAGAATTTCGCTCTTTGTTGTCCAGGCTGGACTGCAATATTATGATCTCGGCTCATCGCAACCTCCGCCTCCCGGGTTTAGCAATTCTTCTGCCTCGGCCTCCCAAGTAGTTGGGATTACAGGCATATGCCACCACACCCGGCTAATTTTGTATTTTTAGTAGAAGCGGGGTTTCTTCATGTTGGTCAGGCTGGTCTCGAACTCCCGACCTCAGGTGATCTGCCCTCCTTGGCCTCCCAGTGATGGGATTGTAGGTGTGAGCCATTGTACCTGGCCCAAAAACTGCGTTTTTAAGAAGATAAATCTGGCTGGGTGGATTTCAGTGAGAGACTTGAAAGCTAGCCAAGAAACCACTATGTTAAGGTAATGGTGATAAAGATTTGGATTAAGGTGGTGCTTGTAGGAATAGAGGTAAAATAACAACTCTTATTTTATGCAGTAGGATAGTTGGTAAGACTTGGTGACAGATTAAGTATGGTTGCTAAAAATAAAAACAGTAGAAATAAAGATTGCATGTTTTGAGAGCATATCACTTTGTTGGGTGGGATTAGGGAATTCTGGATGACAATCATAGAGTAAGAGCTTAATTTCTTCTTACGATGTATTTAAAATCTCAGAGGAATGGTTGCTAGGGATTCAACGTTCCAAATTGTTTATCTAAAAATGTCAGTTCTAACAGGGACACTGATAATGTTTCCAGTGCAAGATATCCAGCTTACTGGTGTCGAATCCGTATGGTTCTGCAGCAACCTCAATTTTTGCCTCCTTAGAAGAAAGAATTCGACTGAGGGGCATAAGGCAGAAAAAGAGACCAAGGCACATTTCAGAGCAGGAGTGGAAGTTTGTTTAAAAAGGCTTTAGAACAGGAAAGAAAGAAAGGAAAGTATGCTTGGAAGAGTCCCAAGAGGGCACTGAGGTCAAGTGCAGTGTTTAACCTTGATGCCAGAACTTAAGAGCCTGGCTCCTTTCCCATAATTCTTCCCTTAGGATGGGCTACCTGCATGTCCAGTGCCCTCCTTACCCTTAAGAGGTGAGCACACGCATTGTGTTTAGAAATTTGTATGCATGCCTACCTGAGGCTTTGTTCCTTTTTCAGGTGGAGTGCCCCCGGAAGGTCAGACTCACCATTTTGTGTCTTAAAGCACATGCCCTGGAAGTTGCTTCTCCCTGGCCTTTGCATTGAATTAACACTTCAATGCACCAAGTGTGGACCATCAGGAAATGTCTTCTCCCTGGCACTGGCTGCCAATTTATCAGTTTCAGAGAGGCAATGTGATAACTTCCAAACCATCAACTGACATTCCTAGTGGGTGGGGCAGTAGCCCTCTCCTGCCCCACTCTTGATTGTCTAACTACCTGCAACAATAGCAGTAATTGTTTTTGTTAAGTACATAGTTGGGACAGAGATACAAGGGTGACTTTTCAGTGTTATTTCCTTTTATTTCTTGAATTTTGAATCATGTGCTTGTATTACCTGTTCAGAAAATGAATAATATTTAATTAAAAGATAGAGATGCCCCAATTGTCAATCTCCATGGGAAAAATTGTCCTTTTTTTTTTTTTTTTTTTTTAATTTAAATATTTCAGACTAGTTTGTCTGAAAAGCAGTCAGGTAAACATGTTTAATAGTTGATTGACTTTGACTTACATGTGTTTGTAAATATATGTTTGCTTTATGTTTGAGTATGGTATATGCATACATATGGTGTATTGCTTGTGAATACATGGGTGTGGCTGTGTGTGGCTCTGGTGTATGTATTTGTTGTGGGAAGTCAGGGACCCTGAATGGAGGGGCTGGCTGAAACCATGGCAGAAGAACATAAATTGTGAAGATTTTATGGACATTTGTTAGTTCCCCAAATTAATACTTTTATAATTTCTTACGCCTGTCTTTACTGCAGTCTCTGAACATAAATTGTAAAGATTTCATGGACATTTACCACTTCCCCAATCAATACCCTTGTGATTTTGCCTGTTTTTACTTTAATCTCTTAATCCCGTAATCTTCGTAAGCCGAGGAGGATGTATGTCGCCTCAGGATCCTGTGATGATTGCATTAACTGCACAAGTTGTTTGTAGAGCATGTGTGCTTGAACAATATGAAATCTGGGCACCTTGAGAAAAGAACAGGATAACAGCAATGTTCAGGGAACAAGGGAGATAAGACTTTAAACTCTGACTGCTGGTGAGCCAGATGGAACAGAGCCATATTTCTCTTCTTTCAAAAGCAAATAGGAGACATATCACTGAATTCTTTTTCTCAGCAAGGAATATCCCTGAGAAAGAGAATGCGCTCTAAGGGTAGGTCTATAAACTGCCCCCTTGGAGGTGGCTGTCTTTTATGGTCGAAGCCGAAGGGATGAAATAAGACCCGGTCTCCTGTAGCGCTCCCAGGCTTATTAGGACAAGGAAATTCCTGCCTAATAAATTTTGATCAGACAGGTTGTCTGCCCTCAAACTGTCTCCTGATAAGATGTTATAAATGACAATGTGTGCCCGAAACTTCATTAGCAATTTTAATTTCGCCACATCCTGTGGTCCTGTGATCTGGCCCTGCCTCCACTTGCTTTGTGATATTCTATTACCTTGTGAAGCATGTGATCTCTGTGACCCACACCCTATTCATGCACTCCCTCCCCTTTTGAAAATCGCTAGTAAAAACTTGCTGGTTTTATGGCTCAGGGAGCATCACGGAACCTGCCGACATGTGATGTCTCCCCTGGACACCCAGCTTTAAAATTTCTCTATTTTGTACTTTATTTCTCAAACCAGCAGAGACACTTAGGGAAATAGAAAAGAACCCATGTTAACTATTGGGGGTGGGTTCCCCGATATGTATTTATTTCACCCATAAAAGAATGTTTATACCTGGAGGCTCTGGGACCCTGGCTTCTCAGAGCTTTTAATTCTTATTGCCACCATGTAGGATTTTTCTCCTTAAACAGGGGAGATGTCCTTGCTTCTCAGTTAACCTCGGGGCCATTCAGAAATGGTTGTGATGCAGTAGTATGGAATGTCTCTCTTTCCTTTGTAATCACTACTGAGGCTGAAGATCACTACATATTGGTTATTCAGTATGTCACCCTCTACTGCACTCTCCCTCATGCAACTGCTGTGAATCCAGCTTCTGTAATAAAGTGTCCTAAAATACATGAACTTTTATTTCTTACCTCAGCCTTTTGATAGGTAAAGACCCAGTATTAGATCTGGAAAAAGGAATAGGAAGTGTGTGAAATAGTTTTGTTTTGTTGTTTACGTATTCTCTCTTTTATAATTTATTAGGGATTAAAAACCACCATGCACGGTGGCTCACACCTGTAATCCTAGTACTTTGGGAGTCTGAGGCAGGAGGTTCACCTGAGCCCCGTAGTTTGAGAGCAGCCTGGGAAACATGGCAAAACCTCATCTCCGCAAAAAATACAATTAGCCAGGCATGGTGGCACGCACCTGTAGTCCCAGCTACTTGGGAGGCTGAGGCAGAAGGATCGCTTTAGCCCAGGAGGTAGAGGTTGCAGTGAGGTGTGATCATGCCACTGCACTCCAGTTGGAGCAACAGAGTGTGACCCTGTTCTCCAAAAAAAAAAAAAAAAAGAATATCATGAAATTGAGAGAAGTTTTAAGACTACTCCTGCAGGATATAGGAAAGAGAAGCTGGGATTGTAAATAACAGGAGGCAGTAGTAGGAAGCTGAGCAGCCTAGCTTAGTGATTGTCAATTTTGACTGCACATTGGTACCACCTGGGAATATTAAAAACATAAAAACATAACTCATGCTTGGTTTTCACCCATAGAGATGCTGATTTAATTGGTCAGGGCTGTGGCCTGGGCATTGGAACATTTTCAGTCTACCCACTTGAATTAGTAGTCAAGACTGATAACCACTGGCCTAGAGAAGAAAACTGGTTTAGGACTGAAAGAATCCTTGGCTCTCACGATGCCTCAATTCCAAGTTCTCTCCACTTGGGATGAATTGGAGTTTATTATAAAATGTAAATATAGTACTTTTGTGTGTTCCCTAGGACATTTGATGCTTTTTAAGACTTGTGATTATTTAGGTTTGTGGTTGGTGGGAAACAAAAAACGCATGAGTGAATCTTTAGCATCTGGAAAGAATGGGTAGATTCACATATTAAGTACAGTGTGAGCCACTGTGCTTTTTTTTTTTTTAAATGTAATTTAAGTCCCAGGATACATGTGCAGGTTTGTTACATAGATAAACATGTGCCATGGTGGTTTGCTGCACCTATGCTTGTTATTACTGTTTATTAATAGTAATAAAGCTTCATGGATCAACTAACTTAACATTGTGATGTTTGCACAGGTTGCCTGTGATTTGCTTCGGAGAATTATTCGTATCTTGAATCTCAGTAAGAGACTCCAAGGACAACTGCAAGGGGGAAGTAGAGAGATAACAAAAGCTGCCCAGAGTCTCAATGAACTTGGTAAGTGTTTTTTTTTTTTGTTTTTTGTTTTTTAATTAAAAAGTAGAGATTTAAATATTTTTAAGTCACTTGATTGACTTTTGTTATCACCATTAGCAAGTACTGTTAAACAAATTTTTAAATAATTGGCTGTATACAATATTAACACTTCTCAGAATGAGTAAGTACAATTAGTTGATTTCACTGAAATGCTGTTTATTTTAATTGTATAGTAAAATTGGCCTTTTTCATATACAGGTCTGTGAATTTTAACACATACATAGATTCATGTAAGCACCATTACAGTCATGATACAGAACAATTCCATCACTCCCCCAGATTCTCTCCTTATTCCTTCAAGATGATGCCCACCCGCTTCCGCTAATCCTGGCAACCACTGATCTTTTCTCCATCATTGTAGTTTTGTCTTTTTGAGAATGACACGTAAATGGAATTACAAAGTAGGTGACCTTTTGAGGCTGTCTTCTTGTACTTAAAATACCTTTGAGATTTATTCAAGTTTTGGAATGTACTAATAGTTTGTTACTTTGTGTTTGATTGAGTACCATTGCATGGGTAGCCTGCAGTTTGTTTATTGATTCACTGATTGAAGGACATTTGTGTTGTTTCCAGTTTTTGGTGATTATGAATAAGTGTACAGGTCTTTATGTGAAGTTTTCTTTTCTCTAGGAAATATTCTAGAGAAATGCTGCTTTTAAGATGACAACTCCCATGCTGATACTATGCCTAGAAGATTTTAAAAATTTATTTCTTTGTTCATTCTTTTCTTAGACATTTATTGCAGGACCTTGACGGTCAAGGGTTTAATGTTCATGGTTTTGACTATTAACCAGCTGCAAAGTCCATGATGCAGCAATTCATAATTTTTCAGGCAAAATTTGAATAGCTAGTGAGTGCACATAGAACTGCCCAACTCTGTGTTTTAATGAGGGTTGGTAGTTTTCTTCTTTTCACTGGGTACCCACTAATTTTTCTGAAGTGGATATATGTAGTGGTATTTGTACTTTATAGGCTCAGAAGTCTTTAATTGTATCCATTTCAGATATCAAGAGTCTGCTTACTCTTGGTATTGTGCTTTGAAAGCAGTTATGCCAAAATAGTATCAGAGAAATGTGCATTATGTGTTCTTTCTGAATTTTCCTGTCTTTGATTTTTTGATTATATAGTCATGCTATGCTGTAATGCTTATTCCATATTTTTTATTAATCAAGGAAATCTATCCTTCACAAATAATGCTTCAACAGCATTACGATTTTGTACTGCTGAAATACAGGTTTTGCTTAGGAAAATCATTGGGAATATCTCTAACTTGTGATTTAGTAGGCTTGGAAAATGTCATATGAAAAGTTAAACTTTTAAGCTGGGTATGGTGGCTGGTACCTGGAGGCCCAGTTAATCGGGAGGTAGAGGTAGGCAGAATTGCTTGAGGCCAGGAGTTTGAGACTAGCCTAGGTGAACAGAACTGATCTCCTCTTGCTGTAAAAAGTAAAAATTGAGAAGTAAAGAAAATTAAAATAAAAGTTGAGCATTGTAGCATGTGTCTGCAGTCTCAGCTACTTGGGAAACGGAGATGGGCAGATCACTCGAGCCCACAAGTTAGAGGTTGCAGTGAGCTGTTATTGCACCACTGCTCTCCAGCCTGGGTGACACAGCAAGATCTTGCCTCTTAACAAAAAAAGTTAACTTTAAACAGTGAGTAATGCTTGTGTGTTGTTTTCACAGTATTATCTAAACATAGAAGGGTAAAAATCCAAGTATCAGCCACTGTTTTGCTCTTTTCACATTTAATATCTGTGCACCAACAATAGTTGGTAGGATTATGGAGTCATTAAACATAGATGCATATTATTCCAAGGCTTATTATGGATGTTTGTCATCACTGACACTCCTTCAATATTAAAAAAGTGCTAAATTTTGATTGGATTATGATTATAATTTCTTCTAGAATTGACAGATTCTGTAATACAAATGGTGATGTCTTTGAAAAAAATAAAACAAAACAGGCATAGCTAGGCACAGTGGCTCACGCCTGTAATATCATCACTTTGGGAGGCTGAGGTGGGCAGATCGTGAGGTCAAGAGATCGAGACCATCCTGGCCAACATGGTGAAACCCCGTCTCTACTAAAAATACAAAAATTAGCTGGGCGTGGTGGTGCGTGCCTATAATTCCAGCTACTCAGGAGGCTGAGGTAGGAGAATCACTTGAACTCGGGAGGCAGAGGTTGCAGTGAGCCAAGATCGTGCCACTGCACCCCAACCTGGTAACAGAGCGAGACTCTGTCAAAAAAACAAAAACAAACAAAACACAAAAAAGGCACAAGTATTGATCATAATGTTCTGAGTATAATGCAGAGGGTAAAACCATTATCCTTCCAATGTGCTGTTGGCTTTACCTAAAGTTTTTATAAAGATTGTTAAAAAGTTTTTGAGAAAATATAGTTCATGGTGGAATGATCACAAAGTGGATTGTATTAATCTAATTTTTAAAAGCTTTGCAGATGATGTGTGATTTAATATTTGCAAAGACATCATGTCTTTTTTATTCACCACTATAGTTCAGTCTTGACCAGTCCTGGCATTTATAACTAATAAGGAGAAGCCAAGGAAAAATAAGTTGCTACCTTTGGAATTAATATTTGAATAAAAGTAATAATTTTGCGATCACTGTTACAATTACACATGTACACTAAATGACACTTCTGTGATTGGAACATCTCTAAAATTGTCAGTGTCTTTATCAATATGGTTCTGTTTTTCATTAGAAAGAGTGAAATGATGAAGAGTAACAGTGTTTATACCATAGACCCTTGAAATTAACTTAAAAGCAGTCTTTCAAACTTGAAAGGTTTTGAGGCTTGATTTGGGACACCCAGATGAAACACATTGTCATCTGGAAATTAAGTATATTCTATGAGACTGGGGTGTGGGGTGACTACTAGTGGATGCAGATTTGTTTTTAGGGTGATGAACACATTCTGGAATTAGATAATGGTGACTTTTGTGCCACCTTGTCAGTATACTAAAAACCACTGCATTGTACACTTTGAAAGGGAGAGTTTTATGTTATGTAAATTTGAAATTCTTCAGTGTTGTTGTGTGTATTAATACCTTTGCCTTTTTATTATGGACTAGTATTCCATTGATATATCACAGTTGGTTTATCTATTTACATGCTGATGGAGAGTTGGGTTGTCTCTAATATTTTAGTATTATAAATTAAGCTGCTATGAACATTCATGTACAAATCTTTGTATGAACATATCCTTTCATTTCTCTTGGATAAATACCTAGGATTGGAATGTCTAGATCATATGGTAGGTATATGTTTAGCTTATTTTAAGAAATTGCCAAGGTTATTTTTCAAAGTAGTTGTAATGTTTACATTTTTTTTTTTTTGAGACGAAGTTTTGCTGTTGTTGCCCAGGCTGGAGCACAATGGCGCGATCTCAGCTCACTGCAACCTCTGCCTCCTGGGTTCAAGTGATTCTCCTGCCTCAGCCTCCCGAGTAGCTGGAATTACAGGCACCCATCACCATGCCTGGCTAGTTTTTGTATGTTTAGTAGAGACGGGGTTTCACCATGTTGACCAGGCTGGTCTTGAACTTCTGACCTCAGGTGAATCACCCTCCTCTGAGTCCCAAAGTGCTGGGATTACAGGCGTGAACCACCACGCCCAGCCAATGTTTACATTCTTACCAGTAGTATTTGAAAGTTCTACTTCCCCCTACAACCTTGCCAACACATGTTACACTCAGTCTTCTTAATTTTAGTCATTCTAATAGCTATGTCGTGATATCTTGTTTTGAGTTTTCAAAAAAAGCTATAACTAATAAAAGAGTTGAGTAAGATTTCAATATACTAGATAAATATACAAAAAATTAATTGTATTTCTATATACTCTGTTAGCAACAAGCAATTGGAAATTGAAATTCAAAAATACCACTTATAACAGCATAAAAATATGGCAGACTTAGGGATAAGTCTAACAAAAGGTGTGCAAAACCTGTACACTGAAAACTACAAAATATTGTTGAGAACAAAGAAGACATAAATCAGTCAATCAGTCAATGTTGTTCATCAGTTGGAAGACTTAATATTGTTTATTAAGATGTATATTCTTCCCAACTTGATCTATGAATTCAACAGAATTTCAGTTTAAATTCCAGGAGGCTTTTAGAAATTGACAAGCTGATTTTAAAATTCATATGGAAATTCAGAGGATCTAGAATAGCTAGAATAACTTTCAAGAGAAAACAGAGTTGGAAGAATAACCCTACCTGATTTGAAGACTTAGTACAAAGACTCTTTAAAGTAATCAAGGCGTAAAGATCAGTGGAAGACCCACATATATGTATGAACAACTGATTTTTGACCCATTTAGTGGAGAAAAAAATAGTCTTTTCATCAGATGGTACAGGAACAATTGGATCTCAATATGCAAAACACTGAACTTGTTTCCATACTTCACTTCATGTAAAAATATTAACTCCGAATGAATTCGTGTCCTAATGTAAAGTATAAAACTACAGAACTTAAAGTAGGCAACTCAGAAGATTTTTTTATTTTCATTTTTATTTTTTTCTTTTCTTCTTTTTAAAAATTTTTAATTTTACTTTAAGTTCCGGGATACATGTGCAGAACATGCAGGTTTGTTACATAGTTCATGCACCATGGTGGTTTGCTGCACCTATCAACCTGTCATCTAGGTGTGTGTTTGTTTGTTTTTTTTTTGAGACGGAGTTTCGCTCTTGTTGCACAGGCTGGAGTGCAATGGCGCGATCTCCGCTCACTACAACCTCCGCCTCGTGGGTTCAAGTGACTCTCTTGCCTCAGCCTCCCAAGTAGCCGGGATTACAGGCATGCGCCGACGTGTGTGGCTAATTTTGTGTTTTTAGTAGAGACAGGGCTTCTCTATGTTGGTCAGACTAGTCTTGAACTCCTGACCTCAGATGATCTGCTCGCCTTGGCCTCCCAAAGTGCTGGGATTACAGGTGTGAG